TTCGTCACCAACGCTGATGTGCACTGCTCTGAGATTCATCAGCTGCGCAATCCAGCCTCGTACGACGTTCGGTACGCCGCGCCGTGGTGACGTAGAGCCATTTCTATTGAATCGAAGGTTGTTTTGTCAAAAGCCCCTTCTATATTATCTATGAATACTCCCAGTGCGGACTCTTTATAGTGGTATTATGAATGTTTTCCAACGTCAAGAAACACCTAAGTTTTTGATCCTCGTGAATAAAGTCGTAAACTGCAACATGCTGCCCTCTGATCCAAGTAACAAAGCGGCATAGTGATGGCATTAATTCCATTAATGACGAATTATTAAAATGATTCTTGAGAATTTATGTCAGTTAATTGCTGAATAAATCTTTCGAACGAGAGGCTGTATAATGTGACACATTTTTGACTGACCAATATTATTGTATTTTCGTGCAATTAATAGATTCCGCAGCTCGGAAACGTTAACACAGAAAACAAGGGCGGTTTATTGCTTATAAATTACATAGAGAGAATTTTGATTTGATTAAAGTGTAGTTCAAAATAACCGATCTCAGCAGTAAAAGGAAAGCTATAAGTCAATGATTGGTCATCAACGAAACTGTGGCAATATTTCTGGCTTGACCCATCAGCAGGTTATTTCGACAGGAATTGAGAATCAATCAAGATAAGCCAAACAGTCAAAGTTTATCTATTGAAAGAAAGGAAAAGCTATACCTACTTCTAAATGTGTACTATAAATGGCTGCTATAACATCGAGAAGAAATATTATTGGAAGATGCGAATTGATCAGCTGATTAGAGCTACGCTTCCGTCTCATTGAACTTTATGTAACAAGAAGCCTAAATGTGGCGTAACGTCTTTGGGGAATGCCTACTTTCATCTTTGTGGCGGTGGAAAAGGAATTTAAATAAATAAAAAATTTATAATTGAACTTTCCCCGCGTTTGTTACGTGCAGATTTAAACTAATGCATTTACAACGAACTCTTGTTGTAGACGGCCCCGTGTAATATACAAGTTCGTGGGATAAGAAGGGCGAATGCGGTTAGCATAGCGTTCAAACAGACACGGCAGCAAACCCGCTCGTAAATTCAGCCTTTCTTACGGCCCTTGCGGTCTCTAATTCCTCCCATGTGACGCGGGACGTGTGCTTTATGTGTTTGCGTGAGTGCTCGACCTGGTATATGTCCGCAATTGATTCACCCTCTTACTTCATCTTATATTTTCTGCGTCTTTAACGGCGTTTTTACGATTTCTAAATGGAATTATAATTTATTCATGTTCAAACTTCCAGTATTGTACATTCTTACGTGGCTTCTGTATTAATTGGCATTAATTTTTCTCATTTACATAACCATGACCCGCCACTCCAATTAACGTTTCATATTTGCATGAAATTCACAACGCGATTCTAAAGAATTTAATTTTGCTCCCAATATCATTTGGTAAAAATACTTTAGAATCCGACACGCTGTATATGATACGGTATTATATTACTTCGCATATTTGTGGGAGAAAAGGGTTTTCCAATACCAGTCACACGGCGAAAAAGTTCAAGGATACTCAAACTAAAGGCACGTCTCCCTACAAAATAAAGCTTGACCTTATTAATATAGTCATTTTAGTAAGAAAGAACATATCGCTCTGGATTCTGGATAGTGAGGACCGAGAGGGATGTCTAATACCTACCAGCATTTACCGCCGCATTCCTAACTAGCTACATGGGAGCGTCCCCGTCGGATAATACAAATACATCATTTCAAAGATCAACTTTACAATGGAACAAGGAAAAGCGCCTACAAAATTAACTTTGTACAGTCAAAGACCCTTTTTTTTAACTCGATCTTGGGAATTATGGAATGTCCTACCGCACACCCCAGCCCTATTATCTATCGGCGGGGGTAGTGTGGGGATCTCACCCACTAAACCCCTTCTCCCTAATTCCATTTGTGTAAGGACTCCGCCTGGGTATCCTTGCATTTTTCCAGGTGGGGCCCTTCTTTCTCTCTAACACATCATAGTTCCGGGTTTCTCCTAGCCTCCTCTTCCCTGGTTCTTACTACTTTTTTCACGTATTCGCTAACTTTTTCCCATTTCATCCTGCTCCGCAGGTTTCCTGGTTCTAGGGCTTCCCCTAGGCCGATGCACATCCTCCAACGGGCGGCCTCGCGGGCACCAAAAACTGCTTGCCCCTCTGTGTCTGTGTTCCCGCAGTCCCTACAGCTCACACTCTCCCTTTTCATGATCCTTTGCAGGCAGACACCCACCTCGCTATGGCCACTCAGGATCTGGGTCAGCTAATAATTGATCTCCCCATGCTTCCGTTCGACCCATGGCCTGAGATCCGTTATCAGCCTCCTCGTCCATGAGGCCTTTTCTTCCCACTCTATTTGTCAGATGTCCAGGGTCTCGGATCTCCCTCTCCCCATCACTCTCTCTTCTACGATCAGTCTAAGGGGTGGCGTGCTCGCTACCACAAACAGGTCCTTGGTGGAGACCGTACGGTAGGTAGATGCGATGCCTATGGACATTTTACGTTGTAGGGAGTCCAACTTGTCGCGCACTTTACGAGTTTTTCAAGCCTTCTCCCCCCACACTTCACAACCGTAAAGCACCATATTGATCACCGCCGCTGACAAATCCCTCACAATTCCAGAATAGTCTATGTATCTGTGTGGCCGTATTATTTGCCTTCTCGACCGCCGGCGCCGCTCCGCGTGCGCAATATAATTCAGGCTCCTGTCGATTCTCACCCCCAGGATATCGATGTGCCTCGCCAGGGGCACCTGCGTCCCGGCCACCTCAATCAAAGTAGAGGGAAGCCTTCTTCTTCCGGCCAGCAATGCCCCCTGGGTTTTGGTTCCTACAAGTTGCATGCCGCGATCTTCCATCCACACCTAGATTTCCCTCACCGTCCGGCTCGTTACCCTCGCCGCCACCTCAAGATCTCTATCTGTTGCCACGATCGTCAGGTCGTCCGCGTATGCCCCCAATTCAACCCCCCTGGAGACCCTTAACTCCAGTACTACGTCATGTGTCGCATTCCACAGTAGAGGGCCCAGAACCGAGCCCTCAATTAATCTCAAACTTGTATTCTGCTCCCGACGGCATCTTCGCCTCTGCTATTCTTTCAGTTAGGTAACTCAAAACCAAACGTCGCAGGCTGGCAGGAACCCCTTTTCGCTCTAGGGCTTGCATAATTACGTGGACGGGCACCGTGTTGAAGGCGTTGCGGACGTCCAAGGACGTCTCCACCGCCACCTCCCTGGTTCTCTGGGTCCCTCTCATTGTCACATCGGCCCTGGCGTGTATTCTTTCTAGCGCGTCGCGCGTACCCATTCTCCTCCTGAAGCCGTACCGCCTAGCCGATAAAGTCAACATTTCCGTCAATCTCCCGGCCAATATTCTTTCAAACAACTTGCCTAAGTAACTCATAAGTGGAATCGGTCTGACCGATCCCGGGTCCTTTTTGGGGACCAGGACAATTTTTGCTTTCTTCCACCCCGTCGGGTAAATTCCCGTGGCCAATCAAAGACCCTGCCAAATAGAAAATGAAGAAATGTCGTTTTTGCTTTATTCATACTGTATTAAATGCTCAAAATAGACCCCACTACTCTTGACCTTTTTATGGTACTGTTATGTTATGGTACGTACTTTAAATTTGTGGTCAGTGGCGTACTTCTACATGCTCAACGGGATATTCCTAAAGTGCACACCTTCTATGCTGCTAAGTGTACTGTTTAGTAATATGTAATGAAAACTAAGTAGTAGTTACCATTAAAAAATTGACCATGTGCTAACCACAAATTTAAAATAAGTAGATTGGTAGCAAACTTAATAATTTTGGATCATAAAACGTTTGTTAAAAAATGCTGCTTTGATGATATATTCAGTGCTCTAGAATAAATTCAAACCCTGTATATTACAATATTGATATCGATTCGAACCTGTACAATGGTCGATACTGTGTCACATCGAATATTTATTTGTTTCTTTTGAGCTTGAGCTACTGCATTAGTCAGTGTTAAAAAAGTGAAAATTGCGCAGGCCTAAAACTTCGGGTAAACTGTAAACGGTATTCTAAGAAGAGTAGTCGATGAAGGCATTTACATCGAGACACATTAAATTTATAACAATTTAAACAAGCAGAGTTATTATTTATTGCCCAATGGGAAGTACCTATATCAACAGTCGATGCAATGAAAAAGACTCATTATACAGTAAGTTGAATATTAACGTACTGTGAATTCGCAAAAAGGTATCAGAATCCTTCGAAATGCCATATTCAATACGAGTCGGCTTCGGTAGGTACACAACTCATAGCTTTCTCCAGCTATCGGGGATATACCCTAAAGCCAGGGAGACTCAAAAGAGGCGCAACAAATGTAAAGAGCTGCGGCGCCAGGCCTTTCTGCAGAAGAGCCGGGATCCCATCGGCTTCTATCCTCTTAAATGGGCTGAACGTGTTGACCGTAAATCTCAGATCCCTCGGTAACCATTCTGGTAGCTACTTTCCAGTCAATCTGCCTTACATCGGCCCGGGTAGCTCCTTTTGGTGGTGTGGTGTGTTTGAAACACTAAGGAGGTCATTATGAGCACGTGTTGAAGAAGAGAGAGTTTTAAAATAATTTGATCTTATTTCCACGTAAGTGTGTTTTTCAATTAGCACATGTACCGGCCAAGCCAAGCAGTACAAGGTAACAAGACAGTACGAGTACTTGTACGAGCACGGCCATGACTTGCCGCCTACCACCGCCAGTTTTACCCTTTGACTTTTGGTAGGCGAAGATATGAAAATCACCTATAGATCGAGAGATAACAACAGATTTTGGGTGATGACGTCTGTCTCTTTACATAGGTTATAAGTTGCGTGTAAACGTATATCATATACGTCCGCGTCCGTTGAGCGGTCCAAATAACCATGTAATTAATATTCATACATTCACATTACGGCATTACATTATGCTATGAGAAAATATTACGAATAGGTTTAATTATCAGATCTAGATACGCGGTTGTGTGTAACTTTATTAAGCTCTGAAGGTTAAATAAATTTAATTTGTTTGGCGGCTGGGAACATTGAAACGGCACCGTATATTATATAACAAGATCTTGTCATCAGTCGACAACTGCACACGACATTAGCATAACCGCTTAAATTTTCCACCAGCAATGCGTTCTTTTTAATCCAGATTAAGCTTCCGAAATGTTCCCTCCATACCAAACAAACTTGCAGACGTGTTCGGTGTACCAAATCGCAAATCTTCTTTTGTTCCATATTCCTCATCCTCCAAGAACCATTTACTATAACTTTCTACGTTGCTCTTCCAATATTCTGTAGGGAAAGCGTGAGGTGCTGACAGAATCTTAAATTTAGCTTTACCTGCAAGATCAGTAAGGGAACCATTTTCACCACCGTAATCTTCGGGTTGTAACTGAATAGGAATTTTTTTACAGAACTCTTCATGGCTACTCTCGCTGTACAGAAACATCTGAAGCCTCGTGAAGAGAACTTTAGTTATAACGTGATCTCTTAAGTCATACACTTACACGTTTACTTAGCTTCTCCGGTGCAAACGATTTACTAAGGTTAATAATGGTTTCAACTAATTGGGGGCAATGGGTGGAATATAGACTCTTCATTCTTATAGGGTACCCTTTGAGCGATATGTTGATCAACTTTTTTAAAAGTGCGGGAGTTAGATGCATGGTGTGACGTATGGTCAAGTTTTTTCCGAAGAACCATGCGATAACCCCGGAAACGGTAAAGTTATCATCCTCCATCAGTAAAATATCATACATCATGAATAGAACCTTGTGAAAAGCAAGGTAATTAATCTTTTCAAAGTTCAAAAGAGGGGAGCGAACCAGAAGTATTCTGGGTCCGTCTGGAGTTTCTGTTTTTGGCAGGGGCAGTATAACTCTAAAATATATGGAGATGAATTAAAGTATGTATCAATATATTATTACTTACCCGAGACGCAGTACTTCTTGAATCTCTTGGTCGAATGGATCTCTACGGGTGAAGAATTCCGTGGCTATAGTTTTTACGGTGTAGTAGTAATCGAGTTTTTCCTGAGTACGATGAAGACTAAATTTACATCCACGCAAGAATGATAATAGAAATTGATCATCTAAAATAAAATAGAAAATAATTTGTTGTCCTATCTGTTATTTACCTCCACCTAACTGGAATCCGCAAGATAGTTTACATAAATAAATTAAGCCACTACTCATATCAGTATCTCTTAAAATAATTTCACTTACCGGTTCTTGAAGTTAGGTGCGGTTGCATCTTAATCCATTCTCTAATGTATTCCAAGTCTTCCGGTACCCTCGACGAATTTTCATGCAGTTCTTCTTCCGCTTTCTTTTGAAGTTCGTTTGATAATTCCCTATACACCATATTTCCAATGCTGTAATCTCCTGGGGAACTGTTGTAAATCGTCTGCAAAAATGTTCTAGGAGGATCGCGTTTTATTCCTTTGAGACCTTGTTGATTGATGGGCAAGAGCACTTCTATAATTCTCACACTTTCATTACCATAATAATAGCAGTGGTTTCACTGATCGAAACGGTCGGTTTAAAGGTCGAAATAAATTAAACCCAATAGATGCAACTACGGCATGGCCTTGTAGGCAAATTCAACTAACGGCAAAATACGTCGATTTTAGCGAATCGCAACTAATTTATCGCACATAGATTCTAAGCCGAAGAATTTTGATTAGCATAATCTTGCCGCCAAGATATGTAAGCCGCCCCTAGTTTCGAGATTTCGAGCCTACAGTTAAATATCGAGGACAATCACGCAATTAGGTGTCGTAACTGATTTGTGTTGTGTTATGTTACTTCAAAGGCAAGAGAAAGTAATCAACATCAATAAAAAAACAATCAAAAAAACGATTCGCCTTGCTTCCACGAAGGACAAAAACAAGATGTCCCTTTTACAAATAAAAATTTGCTTTCCCCCAACTAAAACAGGGATTTTTTGCCACCTTTTTCTTCACATGCGCTTAACACATCTTCCCTTCTTTTCATCTCATTTGAAAAATACAGGATTGGTCCTCGTCTGGAACCGCTTCTGTCCGAATAAGCATATACAGGATACTCGTATCAAGGGGGAACCAGAATGACGTTATGAGTGACAACCCCCACCCCCCTTAACTCCCAGTCCCCCCTCTTCAAAAATCCTAAATGGCAACCCCTTCCTAGTGACACATCGTTGGAAAGCTACTGAAAAATGCTTTCCAGTGGTACCAATAAAGACAATATTCATTAAGACAATTTAACAAAAATTTCATAATTAATAAAATAAAAACTAAATGTTGACATTGGGGGATTTATAGCAAATTGGCTAAAAACTTCAACCTGAGCTGTTTCATTAAGCAATCTTTGTTACTTTCTTTTTTTTATTGACTTACAGTACAGCTGAACGTGTGGAAAAAATATTCATTTATGACTCCGAAAATCGATCATCTTTTAGAACAGCTAGACCGTTTAATGAGAGACATCTCGGGAGAAATATAAGCCATGCCTATGTTCAAGTTTTGGTCACTAAAGCTCAGGTTGAAGTTCTTGACCAATTTGCCATAAATCCCTCAATGTCAACATTTAGTTTTTGTTAATTATTAATTTTTTGTTAATTTATCTTAATGAATATTGGTACCACTAGAAAGCATTTTTCAGTAGCTTTCCAGCGATGTGTCCACAAGTATAATGGGGTTGCCAGTTAGGATTTTTGAAGAGGGGGGGGGGGTTAACGGGAGGAGGGCTGTCACTCATAACGTCATTCTGGTTCCCCCTCGATACCACCGAAACGGTTTTGCACGTTTTCAATATCTTCTTCAGTTTGGAAAATATAGGCAACTGCAAGTTTTAAAATTGACACCCTGTGTACAATTTTAGACGCAAGTGGGAGTAAGTGGTGGTAAAACTGGTGATAACTTTTATTCCTGAATCCATGCGCCAAAGCTACCTCATTCTCAATGTAGAAATTTCAATAAATTCAGGAATTCTTACAGGAACTTTAATTAAGAATTAATGATAAAAATTTCACATCATTACATGTATTTACCACAATTAGGTAGAAGTGATTGCAAATATGGCAACATATACATGTCGATGTCTGGCGAGTGAAGGGTTTGTGGGCTAACGTCACTTTTGTACTTTTTGGTACGGTAAAACCTCCTATAAAGTGGTATTCCTGTTCGTATGTCCGGACTGTATGGCACTTGGTGACGTTACTAGGTGTCGGTAATTTACAAACCATTTGAGTTATCGGAGCATTCAGTTTATACGGTACAGGGAGAGTTCTGAGGTGTAGGTGTGGTTCTTTACTGGAACCATACCTCCCATACAGCGTATACGATATTCCTGTTCAGACGGTCCCTGACAGTTCTGGAGATGAACCTGGGTTTTCTGCTTGAGAGGCCGGGTTTGATTGTAGATAGTACACCATAGTGAGATACTATAATCCTAAGCAATGTGTGACGCGCTTTTTGGTGGTAGGATCGCACTGAGTACAATGGTCACTACGGATTCATCTTGAGGTCCAGTAGCGAAGGCATATTTTGGAGATGAGAAGTTTTACACTATCATCAATTTTTTTGTGGGAGGTTCTGGGAGTTATCCGAAAGGATCGAGGCTTAACACTTCGATACTTGCGTTGTTGGAGCGGCATTTTTATAGTAGCCCTGCAGGTTTGATGCCTGTAACCTCTGGAACTCACACCTCTTTGACTTATTTTGTAACTTTTGTTAGAGGACTCTTTGCCTATAGTAACAAATTACTTACTAGGTTTTATTCATACTGCACATACCATTCACTTATTTGGAAAGCGAGTATGAGCAACAGATGCCCCACAAATAGTGTTTTCTTGGCTTTGTGTTAGTCACACAGCAAGATAATACTTCTATTATAAAGCACCTAGGGCACGTGACAAGAAATGGCAGTTACAATCAACCACCCGTGTTTTGTGGGGTATGGAATTGCAGAATATGTTTGGTAATCTCCATGTTGAAATACTCGTATTACGATGGTAAATCAATTCCATAATGCCCGCCATCTTGGATATAAGGGCTTAAATGCCAAAATCGGGTCTGGCAACAGGGCGCATCGATTTCAGCGGGGGCCAATTAGTCTAAAACCGCCTGTTGCCAGTTTGTAGCACAAAACGCCGTTAGACATGCACTTTTCAGAAATGTCTCCCTGACTAAGAGGTAAAATCGTATTTTGTTACCAACACTAATCTGTAATCGCTGATAAATTTTGCAATCGGTTATCCTCAGCCACTGCAAAATTTGATTATTTGTATTGGAACAACTACGTCTTTCTTTTTTGGTAAGAGCCAAATAAAATGTTCCAAATTGTTGTAGGAACTCAACTTACAGAAGGAGGACCACAGAATTCCTTAGTGTTATAATGCCATTTAAATGGGAACAAATATTACTATTCATGATGCTTTGGTTTGTTTACCCACTTGATATCAGCGAACATTTCCACGGAGTAAAAAAATACATTGTGCTATAAGAAAAAATGTTCCAAAACCCACTCGTGGGTATTGCCGCGTAACACAAAGTATTGAAACGATGCATCGTCATCGAAAGCACACAAAATGTCGTCCACGTCCAGAGAATGAGAGGAGTTAAATAAGTAAAATAAAGTTTCAAAGAAATATTACCATACATAAGAAAGTTGGCTATGAGCAGTCTGTGCAGTCACTGCACATGCCCACATAATTTTTACATCTTGTCAATAAAAAATATTCATTGAACTCTAACAATTCACTACTGAAAGTAAACAATTGCACACAACACTATAGCATTATCGCTTCCACCAAGAATACGTTCTTTTTAATCCAGATTAAGCTTCCGAAACGTTCCCTCCATACCAAACAAACTTGCAGACGTATTTGGCGCACCCAATCGCAAGTCTTCTTTTGTTCCGTATTCCTTATCCTCCAAGAACCATTTACAGTAACCTTCAACCTTGGTTTTCCAATATTCTGTAGATAAAGCGTGAAGTGCTGGCAAAACCTTAAATTTAGCTTTACCTGTAAGCCCACTTAGGGAACCATTTTGACCACCGTAATCTTCGGGTTGAAACTGTATAGGAAATTTTTTACAGAACTCTTCATGGTGACTCTCACTGTACAGAAACATCTGAAGCCCCGATAAGAGACATCAATTACAACATATCTTATACACTTACACGTTTACTTAACTTTTCCGGTGCAAACGATTTACTGAGGTTAAAAAAGGTTTCAGCTAACTGAGGGCATTGTGTGCAATAGAGACTCCTCATTCTTATAGGGTACCCTTTGAGCGATATGTCGTTCAACTTTTTTAAAAGTGACGGAGTTAGATGCATAGTGTGGCGTATGGTCAAATTTTTTCCGATTGACCATGCGATAATCCCGGAGACGGTGAAGTTATCATCCTCCATCAGTAAAATATCAAACATCATGAATAAAAGCTTATAATAAGCAAGGTAATTTATCTTGTCAAGGTTCAAAAGAGAGGAGCGTAACAGAAGTATTCTGGGTCCGTCTGGAGTTTCGGTCTTGGGCAGAGGCAATATAACACTAAAGTATATGGAGTTGAATTAAGGCACGTAGCCATATATTTATTTACCCGAGACGCAGTACTTCTTGAATATCTTGATCGAATGGATCTCTGCGAGTGAAGAATTCCGTGGCTATAGTTTTTACGGTGTAGTAGTAATCGAGTTTTACTTGAGTACGATGAAGGCTAAATTTACATCCACGCAAGAATGATAATAGAAATTGATCATCTAAAATAAAATAGATAATAATTTATTGTCCTATCTGTTATTTACCTCCACCTAACTGGAATCCGCAAGATAGTTTATATAAATAAATAAAGCCACTACCCATATCAGTATCCCTTAACATAATTTCGCTTACCGGTTCTTGATATTAGGTGCGGTTGCTTCTTAATCCATTCTCTAATGTATTCCAAGTCTTCCTGTACCCTCGATGGATTTTCATTCAGCTCTTCTTCCGCTTTCCTTTGAAGTTCGTTTGATAATTCTCTATACACCATGTTTCCAATGTTGTATTCTCATGAAGGACTGTTCTAAATCGTATAAAGAAACGTTGTATGAAGATCGCATTTTATTCTTTTGAGACTTTGAAGTTTGATATGTATGGGAGCCGGGAGGTAACCTTTCTCATAATTCACACACTGTCATTAGCATTATAATAATAATTTTTTATCCAACGAGCGAAACGTCCAGAGTCCGTTTACATTAAGGTCGAGATTAAATTAAATTCACTGTGAACGGCCCTGCTTCTTGGTTAATGTTCTGTGTTTACTGAAATATAAAACCAGATTTTGCATAAGAAGCACTTGTAATTGAATTGTAAAGTAACAAAAAATTGCGATTTGCAACTATTAACTAACGAATGCATTTACTACATTTAATATTCAGGAAAGATTGCCGGTCACAGAACACTTGATCCCGATCTACAATCTCTGTTTTTCGTAAGGTACTAGCGAGTTTCGGGATAGTATCGTGTCAATGTTGAATGAAAAGACTTTTTCTTCAACATTAGCACGATCCTATTCCAGAAGTCGCTCGCATCTTAAGGGCGCGCTATCAGTATTGTGTGTTGCCTATCTCACAATAGCTTTCTTATGGGAAACATGCCTAACGGAATTCATACCGTTTTTAAAAACTATACATTTTTTTTGGGAAATGTTTGTTGTTTATTGTTCTTAAATGTATGTAAATTATGAGTGAACAGTTTATATTGCACTAAAACTCATAGCACATTCTCTGAAAGTGTATAAAGTAGACGTTCGATTGCAGTGGCAATCTTTTGTGTATAATTCAAAGGTCAAAGAAGTTTTTGAAATATAAATTGTTTCTCCAGATTCTTGAACATATAAGGAATAAAACGTGATGTAAAAATGGATGTGGTTTCTAAAGCACAAACGGTATGAACTCCGTACACTTGAAGAATAACTCGTAAAACAATTATAGAAAAGAAATCTGTGCTCAGTGTAGTTCAACGTGTATCCACTAAGATGGCTACGGTATACTATTCTTACAAAGCGGGAAATTTAAACTGGAGTACTTATTGGAATGTATTAATGTATCTATTTTTTAGCAGTATAACTTATTCCTTTATTGGCTTTGTTGGTTATTAATGCAGATAAAATGTATCCAGCAAAAAACCGTACCATAAGTAGGAATTACACTGGTTAACGTTACCTACATTCAAAATTTGGGTTAGGAAACTGGCAAAAGAAGTATTTATAAACGTTGAGTTTAGGATCATGGGATTTTTCACTCTACGTTATAATTAATTAATATAAAAATTTCAGAGCTTACAACAAAAAGAGGTTATGTGGGATGGTGTTTCTGAATTGATAATACAGTGTTAATACTGCTTACGTTTACCAGACGAAGCGCTACTTATGGGCAAGAATACTCTCGCCCAAGTTGCTATCTAATAGCACTGTCGACTTGTACGATGGTATTTACACCTCGGAAGTGCTATCAGACAACTCTGCAAGAAATCAGTAACTGAAGATTATATATTTATTCGATAATAAATGTACACGTCACTTACAACTAAATTTAAGCACTATTAATAATAACGAAACCCCACCGATTGGATGCCATCTTGGTTCCCATAATTTGAATGAACTACATACTATCGGCATTGAATAATTCAATCGTTGAGTGAAGGATCTCAATGTTATCGGTATTATATCAAAATATGATTTCACACCCAAACAAATAACATTCAATTATGAGTTAGTATTGCTGACTTGCAAATCTGGTTTTCCTAAAAATATTGCGTGGATTGTCCTTTGTGATCATAAAGGCTGAGTATTCCTTAAGGCCGATTCACATTATTATCGGTCAGGTTACGGTCTGAACATGACCAGTACAGAAATACACGGTTACAGTAATTGACCGCACCGTGTTCTGACCATGATGTGACCGATGGCCTTATATAAACGCACTGCAATGACATCGTTCGGTAAAATGATAATCGGAAAAAAATGTACTCGGTGTCGGAAGTCAATCTTCGGAAATGTGTACAGTCGAAGGATAGCCTAAAACCGAGCCTAAAACAATCCATTAATAGAACTATATTAAAATAAAGATCCTCAACTTTACTTACCTAGGTAGGTACTGGTTTTTTTTTGTTATTTTGCAGTTAATAGAAAATCAGGTAAACATAATCCATAACATAACCCAACTTTGAATGGCATTTCAGGAATTACAATTACTATAGGCACTGTTATTGGCATTCAATTGAATTATTGAACAAAACCGCATATTATGGTAAATAAGTATTTTTAGGTAGAATTTATTTCGCAAGATCACTAAATTCCCTTTTTAGAGTTACGGAACGATATTTACAGTTACAGGTGGTAACCAAAGATAAGCAAAATACTATTTTTAATTTTATCTCAAGACGAATGTATGCGAGTGTCAGCGACCTAACGAAGTACAAATAGGGATCGCGGATTCGGGATGGCAGCACAAAGCAACGAATATTTCAAAAATACTTCTTAGTTCACTTTTCTTACACCATGGCGTGCAAACGCACCCTTAATAAAAACAAAGATTGTAAATCGACACAAGGTGTGCTGTGACCGGCAATCTTTCCTGGCGAGAGTTATAGCTGGGAATGTGCTACGATGTTGAATTCCGATCCAAGTAGCATTCATCCGTTCTTGTTAATTAATGTGTGTGGAATCATTTGAGGATTGTGTTCTAGGGGGATATCATAATCGAAAATGGAACTGGGTGTTATGGTTGGCTGCGTGTATAAACTTCCATTCATTTTATTGTAGTACGCTAGTCCTTGTTAGCTAACAACCATATAAGTTAAAGTCAAAAATAGAAATAGAAAGGAAAAATCAAATCTACTAGAAGTTTCCAACCAGAGTTCCTAGTTTGCTTGAAAACTGTCACGCTCGCCCCTGACTTAAGGTAAACCTATATTGCGTTCGTACCTCCAGATGCTGTATGGGGTCTTATCTTATGGACTAAATGTACCTATCTCATACTAATTTGCGTCATTCTTCGATAACGCTATCCTTATCCCTCACCGCAGTGATGTCAGACTGACATATGATTAAATTGAAGTATTAAAACAGCATAATCTCCTTGTGCTATCAATGCCACGTTTGTTAACCTCAATTTCTCTTGATGGTAATAAAACAAATATAATTTCGTTTAATTTCGCGTTGAACTTTTTCAAAAGAGGTCTTAATCTGTACTGCTGTAAAACTTGTAGTAACGCTTTATTTTCTTGATTACAAGTATTATTATTGTTCACGGTCTATTTTTTTGAATGATCCTCGTAACAGTGGTAACCTTGCAATTTTAAACACGCAATTTTTGTGGCTCTGCCATTGGTCGCTATCGATTGTACACCCTGTATAACATGCCAAGCTATCACCTTAGATCATATACATATTACATCTCGTATTACATTGACGGAGCGATGCAGCTACACTATGTCGCCAACATGTTCTGATTCAATATTCGACGTACTTTTGTGCTGTATCTAGCTTGTGGACGTACAATTTGTATGTTTTTTTTTTAATTAATTACTCTCGATATAGATCAACGATAGAGGAAGCATCAATTGCTAAGATTATTAGCTACCTCTGCCGGAAAAAAAAGATGTTTTTATTGACCTATGATGGTGAGTATTTATCTGAGATAGTATTTATTGTTAATGTATTTCTCTTTTTAGGTACCAAGCAGTCATGATGAATTATGGGTGAGTATTAAAAATTTGGTATAATCCAGTGTCACAGTTCGTTGTATAGATTGGTTATTTTAAAAAATTCTATTATTTTTGTATTGTTCTCCCCATTTTTTATGATATCAATTGCGGTGCCGCTAATATTACAATTTTCACGATATTCCGCAAGTTTCTCGCAACCTTCTAATATATGTTTTAGATTAGAATTTAGATTAGAGCGCTTTCTTTCCTAGAAGTAGATGACTGTGGGTTAGTCTTGAATGCCCTATTGCTATTCTAGTCAGTATCACCTTGTCTTTCTTACTTACATTGTTATTATACTTTGTTAAAGCAAGAGATGGGCGAGTTTGGGAGTGCCAACTGCGCGACTCTTGCCATTCTCGCAGCCATAAGTCCCCAATATGTGAAGTTATGGAGTTCATGCATTTTCCTACATTGTCTTCAATTCTTCATTGAGCAAGCTAAATGTATGAAAGGTAAGTTGCTCTCCTTTACAAGCTTATTCATAACAAATGTGCATGGTTTGTTCCTTGTTTGCGCCCAGTAATAACAGTCTAAGATGTTAGGTTCTGTTATGTATTTATGTAAATGGTGGTGTTCTTGGCGCATTATTTTTATGGCATATTTCAACATGATCTTCCTCCTTCTATAACTAGGAGGTAGGAAGCCTGTTTCGCGATATATACTGTTTTCGGGAGAGGTCCTAAATGCTCCGCTTGATGTCCGAATTATTTTTAAGATAGCTGAATCCAACTTTTTTAAATGGGATTTAGCGGCGTTTCCAAATACGACAGCGCCATAATCTGCCTTACGCTGTCGTATTTGGAAACGCCGCTAAATCCCATTTAAAAAAGTTGGATTGTATGTTGTTATTTCATATACAGTTGCAATGATGGTAATCAATGAGAAAATGTTCATAATAAATGCAATATTTATTATTTAGGGTAAAAAAGGATTTGATTACATTAGTAAATACATCTTTAAACCTTTCGCCAGGAAAGATTGCCGGTCACAGAACACTTGATCCCGATCTACGATCTATGTTTTTCTAAAGATGTAAGCGACTTCCGGGATAGTATCGTGTCAATGTTGATTTTTGAACAAAAAGACTTTTCGTTCAACATTAGCACGATCCTATTCTGGAAGTCGCTCGCATCTTAAGAAAAACATAGATTGTAGATCGTCACAAGGTGTGCTGTGACCGGCAATCTTTCCGGCCGAGAGTTCTATATGATAATTTACGGGCACAGTACTGTATTGAAAGTTTACTTTTATATAATCTTGTCAATTAAATTTTTTGGTGGGAAACTAAAAATTATTTGCTCCATTAGTTTGCAATTTGTCATTATCACCGACCACTTAAATTATTTGATCACATTTGTGAAATCATTCCTTTCTTATAACGGGCGATCAAAAATGGGTGGCGAATCCCTGGCGATCGAGTCGCCTTAGGAAGTTCA